TTTTTAATAAATGTAAATAAATCTTAAATATTAAAAATAAAAAATTGAATAATTAAGATTTTATATAAATATGATACGTAAGATTTATATATAAATAAATCCCTAATCAATCAATATAATAGTAAATAAAACAAAAGCGGACAATACTTTGTCTAGCCCATAATTTACACAACAGAAAAGCAACCATTTGAAATCACTTTTAAAAAAACCATTTGGAATCAAACTTGAAACCTAGAATTTTGAGTTATCAAAACCTTGAAATTTGAGTTTGCTTGAATCTAGATTGAGGTTGAACAAACCCATGAGAGCTGGATTTATGAACCAAGTGCATCTAGGTTTGAATATATAGGAAAGGGGAGGAAATGGAGGAGGGATAGATGGGATAAATTAGTAATTTAGTATTAAGTTTCTTATTTTAATTTATTAATTAACTTATTTGATGCTAACATGATTAGAAAATTTGTCTAACAAAGCACATTATTTATCTAAAATGTCCTGATTTAATTAGTAAAAAAATTTGATTTTCACGTTATTAATTAAGATTTGATTATTTAGGGATATTAATAAAAAAACTAATTTTATATGAATCCTCTAGTTTTGGGGTGATAGGCCTGCTTATAATCAAATCAAAAAAAGATTAATCTTAAGGTGTACATAAGTTGATTCTAACTATTAAAACCAAAAAAAAAGAAAAAAGAAAAAAAAGGTAAATTGTACAATGTTATTTTCATTTCATTTAAAGTTTCCCAAATGTGCGATTTTCGTTCAATCGGTCATGTTAGTGAGTCATTGACGAAGGCACAAATTCGGTGCAGATTCTGGGGTTGAGGGATGAGAAAAAGTAAAAATTTGAGTTGAGGGCAAAATCGATACAAAACACTAAAGTTGAAGAACTAAAAAGACATTAAACCATTATATAAAATGATACCAGACCCATAAATATAATACTAAAATAAATAAAATGTCTACGGATTTAGCCAACTGCAAAAATACATTCTCAATAAATAATAAATAAATAACACACCAAAGTAGCCTCCAAAATCCAAATCCCTCTCTGGAAAGGAAACTGCACAAGAATCCCAAAAAAAGCTGTACAAAAAATTAAAAAAAAAAAGAAAGAAAGAAAGAAAGAAAGAAAGGGGAACCCCAAATTACAAGGCAAGACAAGAATGTATGGAGGGTCGTTTAGAGATGCAACCGTCGGCCGGCTGCTACATATGGAATCGAACACCGGCTTCATGGATCCGATCGGCAGAATCCACCCTTTTTTGTGGAACCAAGCGCATACACAGACCAGAGTATATTCGGATCCCTCATTTTCTTAGGGAAGAGATGGAATGTGAAATGTTTCCTCTATTTTTACCTGCTAACTTGTCGTCTTGTTCACCACTGGCATTTTCAGAGGAAGGAATTGTGCGATGGTATATTTGGGGATGGCGTAGTCACGGCTTTATATTGCTGCTGATTTGCCTTCTCTGGCTCGGGAAATTAAATGTATTATACAAATTTATTTTTGGGTTTTCTGTATTTCTGCTGTTACTATCGAGTATGAGACTAAAATTGCATGCCTTCTCGGTTTGGTTACTGAGAGAGGTGAGGAAAATTGAAGATAAAATTCCCTGTTCTTTGCTTTTCACTTGTCTTTTTTTGGCTAGTATGCCTAAACTGGTGGAGGCTGACGATATTGCCACCAAAAATTTTGTTAAAATCAATAATTTTAATTTTAATTTTATCAAATTATAGTTTTTTCCTTAACAAAAATTAAAAAATATCTATTTATAAATTAATATCAATTTTCAATAGTTAAATTTTGATAAAAATTTGATCATTTTAGTGTTCTTAACAGATTCAATGGCGGACATAAGCATAGCTGCGTTATTGTAACTGACTTATTTTTCCAGGGTGGGTAGTTGGGACTGCTACTAGAAAGAGAGCTGTTGTCAAGAATTGCAGCGAAGGCTGGCACACTGGTCAACTTTCAACATTCGTCTGCCACCATTAAGGTTCTATCTTTTGTTTCTTGAAAACTTGTACAACAATGGACATTCGATTTTTAATGTTTATTATCATCATCCTCTTGCTGCTTTTCTTCTCTAGATTGTCATGTGCAACTGATGTCATCACCTCATCCACCAACCTTAGTGATGGCAGAACCTTAGTTTCTAGTCATGGAAGCTTTGAAGTGGGGTTCTTTAGTTCTAGAAGCTCTCCTAAGAAACGTTACTTAGGAATTTGGTTCAGAAAAGTCTCTGTTCAAACTGTTGTTTGGGTTGCGAACAGATGCAACCCGATAAACGACTCATCTGGTGTTTTGCTGATAAACAGACAATTTATCTGGCCCCATTTCGTGGACCAAATGACTAGGATACGTGCACCCCACCCCCATCAAATCCTGTTGACAGCAATGGAGAGGCTTCCACAATGATGACCATTTTCATCCAACTTCTGCTTGCTTGCTTTTGTTTTTTAGTCTTAAATAAATATGGTAGTGGGTGAAATAGAGCTTGTAAAATGCAAGACGAGTCCTGCTTTCTGTGCTAGTGACTTGGTGCCATTTTCTTCAACCCAAAGCCTACGATGTATACAATTTTAAAAAGAGCATAAAGCCTTGTTTGGCAACCAGAGTGCCATGGTAGGTGAAAATGCATACAAGTCAAGCAACCCAGTCCCCATGGCATTCTTTTATTGCCAAGACAAGCCGGAAAGGAGGTGATCATGTGTTGTTAAATCTTTTCGTTTACTTTTGACTATAATTATATCACTGAAAAGTGTAATTCAAAATATATTAAATTGTATTATATTAATTATAAAATGAAGAGTAGATCTTTTGATATTAAGATCTTTTTTATTTAATTTATATTTTATAATTTAATATAGTTTAAATTATAAAATAAAGTTTCCTTAAATCATATTTTTATATGAAATTTATGTTTTTTCAATTTGAACTAGTGTATTATAAAGACATCAAAATATATATTGAACAATTTAATTAAAAATATTTCAGTAATTCTATTGTCTGATCTACAAAAAAAAGTGCAGTCTAACATGAAAATTAAATATATATATATATATATATTATCCCTTGACACATTTTTCCAGGGTAGTTGGGACTGGTAGAAAAGAGAGAGCCGTTGTCGGCTTGGAAGACTCGCACACTAGTCTTAACGTGCATTTTGGGTTATTTGTTCTTGTAAACCTGCCATCACAAAGGCTCTCTTTGTTATTTCTGAAAACTTGCAAAACAATGGGCATTCGATTTTTAAAGTTTATTATCATCATCCTCTTACAGCTTTTCTTCTCTAGTTTCTTATATGGAACAGATATCATCACCTCATCCCAAAATCTTAGTGATGGCGGAACCTTGGTTTCTAGTGATGGAAACTTTGAACTGGGCTTCTTCAGTCCTGGAAGCTCTGGCAAGAGCCGTTACTTGGGAATTTGGTACAGGAATATTCCAGTTCAAAATGTTGTTTGGGTTGCTAACAGGTGCAACCCAATAAATGACTCGTCTGGTGTTTTGATGATAAACAACACCGGTAATCTGGTACTCCTCAACCAAAGCAGGAGTGTTGTTTGGGCATCAAACTCAAAGAAAGAAGCTCAAAACCCAGAAGTGCAGCTCCTGGATTCTGGAAATCTTGTTCTACAAGATAGAATTGCTGGTAAACCAACACTTATGTGGCAAAGCTTCGACTACCCCACTGATTCTTGGCTGCCAGGGATGAAATTTGGATGGGACTTAAGCACTGGTCTTAATCGACGACTTTCAGCATGGAATTCGCCGGATGATCCCTGTCCTGGAGACTTAACTTACGGAATAGAGCTATATGGTTTTCCTGATCTTGTCATGCGGAAAGGCTCAAGAAAGTATTCCCGGACAGGGAGTTGGAAAGGCATCGTAACTAATCAGTTTATTACAACCACTGCCATCTCAAATGAACAGGAGTTTTGCTTAATCTATTACCCCAAGACCAAATCAGTAATCACAAGGCTTGTTTTGAACAAAACTTCCAGTAAGGCAGAGCACATCATATGGAATGAAGAAGGTAGAACTTGGACGGTGTACAGCCAATTTCCAAGTGATGACTGTGACAACTATGGGAGTTGTGGAGCATATGGGAACTGTGTCAATACAGAAATACCGCCTTGTCAGTGTTTGAAAGGTTTCAAGCTAAAATCACAGGAATTGAACTCAGTGGACTGGTCTCAGGGCTGTGTGCGCAATAACTCATTAGACTGTCAAAAAGGAAACGGATTTAAAAAATTTGGTAGGTTGAAAGTGCCTGATGCTGAACATTCTTGGGTGAATGAAGGTATGAATCTCCATGAGTGTAGGGCTAAATGCTTAGAGAATTGTTCTTGTATGGCCTATACAACCTTGGATATTAAAGAAGACAGAGGCTGTGTAATTTGGTTTGGTGATCTAATTGATCTTAAATTTTTCCCATCTGCTGGACAGGATTTATATATTCGAATGTCAGCTGCTGATTCAGGTATTAGTTAACTTCTAGTTTAGCCTGACAATTCATTGTTGCTTCAAGTTATGTAATGATTCCTATTTATGTTGGGTGTTACTAGGTCTATTTTCAAACTAGTTCTTTTTTCAATCAATACGGGCAAGTATTTCATTGCTATGACTATGATTTATTTATTTCTTCTCTGTTTTATGGAATTAGACCATGAAGAGACAAAAGGCAACACTAAAATGAAGGCTGCACTAATAACTGCAGCTGCCATTCTTGTAGTTATTAGTGTTGTTGTAATCACCTACTACATTCGCAAGAGCCATCGCAGCGTAGAAGGTATGTTTCTTTACCTTCACAAATCATGTGGCAATTAAATTTTGATAGCAACTTCCCCTTGGTTTGGATTAAATTTTTCACCCTTTCAGAAAGAGAAATTTTCCGGCGCAATGAAAGGCAAAATGAAGATTTAGAACTCCCATTTTTTGAATTTGTTGTAATATCCAAAGCCACCAATGATTTCTCTTCCAACAAAAAGCTAGGAGAAGGTGGCTTCGGGCCTGTATACAAGGTAAATGTTCGAAACTCTGGTAAAAATCACTACTAGCATAACAAGTAGTTAGTTAATTAGAAATGAAGTTTACATGCATACTTTTTCAGGGTACTTTGCCTGATGGAAAAGAAGTTGCGGTGAAGAGGCTCTCAAGAAGTTCTGGACAAGGAATAGTGGAGTTCAAGAATGAAGTAGCACTTATAGCCAAACTTCAACATCGGAATCTTGTAAAGCTTTTAGGATGCTGCATTCAAGGGGAGGAGAAAATGTTAATTTACGAATACATGCCTAATAAAAGTTTGGACCACTTCATTTTTGGTTCGGGTTCCTGTGAGACCTTTTTAATTAACTTAGTAGTAGTAGCATAAATTTTTCATAAGTTGTTTTCATCTTTCAATTTAACTCTTTTTCAAAAGCTCTTGTTGAACTTTAGATTAATATGAAGAAGATATTACATGACAGATGATACAAGAAGGAATCTATTAGATTGGTCAAGGCGTTTTCACATTATTTGTGGAATAGCTAGAGGGCTTCTTTATCTACATCAAGATTCTAGATTGAGGATCATCCATAGAGATATCAAAGCTAGCAATGTTTTGCTTGATAATGAAATGAACCCCAAAATTTCAGATTTCGGTTTGGCCAGAACATTTGCAGAACAATCAGATGCGAAAACAAATAGAGTGGTTGGAACCTAGTAAGTACTATCTTTATACTACCTAATTTCCTACAAAATTCTCATTGATATAATTTGTCTTAATTATTTTTTTGTAGTGGTTATATGGCACCGGAATATGCCATTAATGGACAATTCTCAGTAAAATCTGATGTTTTCAGTTTTGGCATATTGTTGCTCGAGATAATAAGTGGAAAGAAGAATAGAGGGTTTTACCATCTCAGCCAGAATATTAACCTTATTGGACATGTAAGTATCAAGATTCAACTCTGGGAATTTGTTTTATTTTTTTTAATGATGGTGGGCAATGTGGTTCGGACCCTTCGCAAGGAAGGGATTAGGGTGGAGAGAACGGTTCGAACCCTTGCCAAAGGTTGAGTCCTTTGTGCTTTAAAGCCCTTTTATTCCACCGGTCAGTATGCTCTTCTAGATTCAACACCAACCTTCTTACCTTTCTTTAACTAAAAAATGACATAAAGTTCATAATATGTATTTAGGCATGGAGATTGTGGAAAGAAGGACATCCTCTAGAACTGATTGATTCGTTTGTAAAAGAATCTTGCACTCTATCCGAAGTATTAAGGTGTATCCATGTTGGTCTCTTATGTGTTCAACAACATTCCAAAGATAGGCCGAGTATGTCATCTGTGGTTTTGATGCTGGGTAGTGAAAATAAATTGGTACAACCCAAAGAACCTGGTTTTCTTTTTGTAGAGAAATGCCCTGAAATAGATCCCTTATTCACTAAAGTTGAATCAAGTTCAACAAATGAAATTAGTCTCTCAATGTTGGAGCCTCGATAAAGATTACTTGAACGTTGTATACCTCTTGCTACTTATGTTATTTAATGTTATTCACGAATGCTTGCCATGTAGCCTTAACCATTATTTGTACAAAATTAATAGTGATACTTATCTTGTTTGATCCTTCATTGCCCAACATAAATTCATAAATTACTCTCTCTACCTATAAATATACATCAAAAACTATTTTAAAATTCAAACTGCAAAGTATAAACCCTTAGATGAGTGGCAGGCGCTCTCCTATTGGGCCCTTTCCTCATCTAAGTATCTCTAAGCCAAAACGTCTTCATTTAAAAGGTCATCCACAAGGCAGCCCTCCCTGGAACACTCCCGTAAAGACTATAGCACAAAGGGAAGAACGCCTCCCAAACAAAGCAAGAAATAACCACCGGTTCATGGATCCGATCAGCAGAATCCACCCGCACACACAGACAATAGACTATTTTGAGATCCCTCATTTTCGAGAAAATGAGGGAATATGAAATCTCTCCTCTCTTTTTACATGCTAACTCTTCGTCTTCTTCCGCGCTGGGGTTTTCAAAGGTCAGATTTTTGGGATTGGTGAGTTCATGGCCCAAGTATCGCTAGCGCGGTTATTCATATTGCTGCTCAGTCTCAGCCTCAGGTATATGCATTAAGCAAATTGGTTTCTAGGTATCTATTTATTATTCAGTATGATATCAAAATTGCTTGTCGTCTCTGTTTGGTTTCTGAGAAAGTTGGGGAAAAGTGAAAATAATTATCTGGCCTTTCGCGGACTAAATTAAGACTTTTGACTGTTCTTATTAAATCATTTTCGTGTAGAACTTAAGTCCAGCTGCAGTATTTTTCAGGGTATGGGACTTCTAGAAAGGGTTGTTACCGAGAATTGCAGGGAAAACTTGCAGGCTAATTTCACACTCAAGAGTCAAGACTCTGCATTTGGGAGATTTGTCCTAACCTGCCATTATAATTTTATAAAGGTT